AAATTATTTGATTGTAGAAAGCTTCAAGGATTAAGGCCATACGTATTTTATTTGATGGTTCAACAATTATTCAAATAAAAGACAATAAAAAAGAAACGTATTTTAAAATTGCCAAAAGACCTTTTACACAGCCGCCTAAACCCGCCTAACAAGTTCACAAGTTGAGTTTGTCTTTCACATGAAAACAAATATAAAACCTCACGAGTCACGATTTTAAATTCAAAAGTTTTCTTTAATTATGGAAAAGTTCGCTTTCGCGATCACCATTTACAGCCGAACATTATACTTTTTTATTTAAAGTGTATTCCCAGTGTTCTCATCCTTGATACCTCGTAATTAGTTTTCCATTCGACGGGCTAATTTTTTTTAAGGTAAAGTTTAGGGCAAATTAGTGATCTCCCATAGGTACGTATACAGGGTGATTCACAAATGGTGACCAAAAATGAAATCTCGTATTCTTTGGTGAATTTTAAGAGGTGTCTTTCCTATAAAGTTTTTATCTAGGACGCTTCGATAAAAAGATACAGGGTGTTAAACCTCAAAAAATATTTTAAATTTTTTTAAATGATTTAAAAATTAGTTAAGTGAAATAATTTGAAATTGGGCGCGTGTATTTATGTAAACATTGTCCAAAATCTGAGGGCTTTTCCTAAAATTTACACGCTCCAGTGGCGGAGATACAGGGTATCGGTGGCATATTTTTCTAAATAAAATAGTAGTAATAGTGACCTTGATATTTTCGGATTTGTCTTTCAATTTTCTACAANCCCGACCTCAGATCGCCCGTAAATTATTTTTCTTTTCATTTCTGTTATATTCTCTTCCTTTTCCAATGGGTTTCATCGTACTATAATTTTTTTTCACTTTTTACCATTTTTGAAGGCTTAAGCACTGGTCTACAAAAACAATCCTACAAACACGAGAAAGGCTGCTCTGCCCGGACAATAGCTGTGCGATTACTAATTTAGCATTTCATTTAAGTTTCACGTAACAGACGAAAACGAGAACGTATTTGTTGTGTTTCCAAAGCCTACCTGAATTTATTGTGTAATTAAGTTATTAAGTAACTATTATTAAGTGTTCAATTACATCAACCTGTACATTCGTATATATTTTCATAAATGTAAATTAATTTTAAATAAGGAACACATGCGTGCACTTTGATACGGACTACATATGTATAAAAGGGATTTTTTTAATGACTTCTTTATAAACTTTTTTTACAAAAGTCTGTGTTTGCGTGGTTCTGTTTATTGTACGTGCAATAGTAGATTGTACTAACTACTAATTTAATTATTACCACTACAAAACTAGTTATCCAATATACAGGGTGGTCCGAATTTGATGCAGGAAACTTCGAGAGCAGATAGATCTATTTAAAATAATAGGAGTTTGCCTTATAAACATAGGTCTGGAACGGTCTTGTTTTAGAGATACAGGGTGTTTAAGTTGTTGAAAAAAATTATTTTTCGTTTATATCGGAATCTATTAACCGATCTCAATAAAATTTATTACAATGTATGATAGTAGGTTTTGCATTACCTAAAATATGAGCTTTAAAGGTTCAACCAGTGGTGTAAAACTGTCGTTTTACTCCTTTTTTATAAAAAAAAACCTACGCCACTGTATTTTTTACAAGTTTTTGTAACTAATAGACAGGTTCGGAAAGTCCTCATGGTTCATCGGCCATTACGTGAGAGCGATAAAGTAAGTCATAGAAATCCGTGCGATAGACAAGGATGGTTACATTGAAAATGTTTCATAATCTGAATAGTCACTCCCACTTCTAACCCGAAACGGGCCGTGACTATTCAGATCATGGAGACTATACAAGGAGCCCGAACTCCATGTAAACAAAAATCTTACAAAAATAAGAGGGCGCTAGTGTTCCATATGTCCCATATGTAGAGAGGGGAGATAAAAAGCGGCAGTTTGAATTATAAATCAATCGTCATTTTTGTAATCTGTTAAAAATTTTAAAATAAATAATGTAAGCTACTTTGAATTATATAAATCATGAAAATATGTCATTCCGGACTGTAATTAAACTAAATAGATAATAAAAAATATTAGCTTTATGAGAAGAATTTGGTGTTCGTAGAAAGAAACTAGTTTTCAAGGAATTTATGACGTGATCTTGTTCTTCTGTTAATATTAACCTATAAGTAAGGTTTATGTTTTTGATAATTACTTTGTTAAAGATTTTAGTTTAATGTTAGTAAAAAATAGTCACATTTTATACAGGAAGTTGCCTTTAAAAAAATAGTAATTCTTGTATTATTAATATGGAATTTTTACTTGTGGTAATAAAATATAGAATATAAAAAAACTCGGTTTTAAATAAACTTTTTAAAATATTACAGATGTCCGATTTTGAGTCCAGTGATTCATATGACTTATTTAGACGCATTGTCCAGCTTGAGAGTGGTGATGAAATAGATTTATTCTAAGAAACGGAAAGAGTAAAAAATAAGAACTATACTTTGAAATTACTGTACCTGAATATAGTGGCCAAGTTTTTTTAACATTTCCGTGTTAGCATCAGGGAAGTAGCTAACAGAATTGAATAAAAATTAGCCGTTTCTAATTATTGCTTATACACGGTAGTTTCGTTGTAGTACTAACCTTACATAAACTAATTTGAGCGAACTAAATATAATAACAATATACGACTGAAATTTATACAACACATATTAGCTTGCATATATTTTTCGTGTTTAATGCACGGCAATGAACTTTTTATTTGAATAAAAGTGTCAATTTATTTATTATGAGCTTGTAAAATTATGGTTGAAATCTGGCAACAGTGCCATTACCATGCCGTAGTGGTAAAAGTTGGGTCAACTGTCATTACTGTCAACTGTACTTTGGGCGTATTCCGTAAACTTGATGAACATCCAAGATACAAAAGAAAAGCAATATAAAATGCGTATGAAACATAATATGGATTGATGAGAAAAAAGTAAAATGTGCAACCGAGAATCTATATGATAACTATCAAGAAGCTCAGTGTATGATAGTGAGACGTCGCCTTGTCAAATTGAAGATTATGACAGAACACCTATACTGTTCGTTTTGCAAAGAGATCCTTTAAATGTTTGTTTCAAATTGCAAAATGCAATAGCATCAGATCACGGAAAATTTATTTAATATTAATTATTACTACATATGTTTTCGACTGGAATAATTTTATAGTCTATAATCGAGCTATTCAAATATAGCGCGTCAGTCGAAGCGTTAAATACAGCGTACAGTGTTGCCATATTTTCTTTCATTGGATCAGATGTTTGTTCGAATTTGTCAAAACGTTATATATTCATTCCATTATCTCAATAATTACATTGTAAGTGCATATTTTTATTGTTTTAAAATGTTTAGTAATATTTAATTCTTTAATTACAATTTTATTTTCCCGATCCTAACCATTTTTAAGAGCAATATTCACGTTTGATTAAAGTTTTTGCC